AGGACCTTGCACTTGGCCTTGTTAAATTCATGAGGTTTGCAGTGTTCTTTCTTGCCATTTCCCCATGGCATTCACAAGCATCCGTTCAGCACCTACAGCACCTTTTCAAGTAGCCAAAGGCATGGATCAGGTCTCTCCTCCTGAGCAGAGGAAGGGGTGGTTCCCAAGTGATAAGAGCTAACCTAGCCAAGCGACATGCTTTCTGTCAGATAGAAGGGGAAAGAAGAAGAATTATCATCTTCCTCTCCTATCCATGGCATAGCAGTGTGTCAAAAGGTTTGAAGATTAGTTAGGCCACCGCAGGAGGAAGTGTGTCAACTATTCTCTTCTCAGGCGCTATACCCTCTACCTCCCTACCAGAGGGTAATGGCATTCATCCCACCAACTAATCTGACTGGCTTCTGTGAGAAGACTTTATCCTTTACAGACCCCAGGACTGGTCATCAATGTTCTTGGAGACACCATACCAAGATCCTCACCCCTGAGGTTTGGTTTCTGGATCCCACCTGGACTTAGGCAAGTGAAAGATGCCAGGTCCCCAGTCCTGTTCAAAAGTTGAGCTTTCACACAGCTCAGGAACTCTATGGTCATCAGTTGCAGGAAGCTGGGATCCTCCAGGCTGGACAGATGCTGAAGAAGCATTTTTCAAAATCACATTGTGGAACTGAAGGTTCCTGCATTTCCCTTTTTTGGTTCCAACCCTCAGTGACTTACTAACCTCACGATGCGCATTGACATCATGTTCCCCAGGACACTGCTCATACCTTCAGCTTGTAAGTTCATGCACATTATTTGATTTGCATATTGTTGTATTTGGTAGTCTTCCCAAAGCGAAGCGGTGCTGCACAAGTTCTTGCTTAAACCTTCAATCCAGCCGCAACTGCTCTGCAAGCATGCAGTTTTGATTTCTCCCTGAGAACATGTTGGTTTTTTGGCTTGGCATATTACACTCTCCTTGCATTAGTAAAGCCTGGAAGCATCTAGAAGGTAAAGACTAAGCCAAAATGCCCAGGGAAAGCTCAGATCAGCAAAATATTGTGCAGAGATGGTTTGAGTGGTTTTGAGTAGGTACCTCACCAGCTGATGCAAAGCTCAGTAGGAGATGGTGAAGCTGCATCAACTGAAAACCTGACATTTTGACTTTTATGGATCCGTTCATATTTCAACATTGTCCTAGCCTAATCATTTGAAAGGTATCAGAGACAACATGCTTTCTTAGCTAACTGGTCTATAGGCACGAGGCGAGCTGGTGTGGGGCATGGTATAGGAGGTTGAGAGAGGCCAGTTATCAGAATTGTTGTGTCTTAGAATTGTCTTAGAATTTGAGAATAGCCCTGTTCATGATAAAAATGTCATTTTGCTGAAGCCAAAAAGCATTGCAGTGGTGTTTTATGAGGTGTTGTGTTGAACACCAGGGTCGTTTCTAGTGAGTAAAGAAACATAATGAAACCAAAACAAGAGGAAAAAAAAATACTTTAGTATATTCCCCATTTGCAAAACAGCTTGAAATGTTTGGTTTTCATTTTTGGCACAGAGTAGAAAAAACACTGGAAACCAGGAAAACCAGGCTAATGCTGAGCTGCCCTTCCCCACCCAGCTCCACCTAGGATGAAGTGCTGTGAAGGAAGGTCTTCACAGAGTCCAAGGCTCCTCAGTCCCTAACTATGAAAACCTTTGGCTGATCCTACCCATCATCCTGAGACAATCATCAGAAAAAAAAAAGTAGAGCTCATTCTCAGTCCCTGTGGCAGGTGCCTTAATTAGGCAAGTGAGCAAAGCTTTGGATAGATGCAAGATGCCATATGTCGAACACTGTCTCTAAGTGAGCTAGACAGCCTAGGATAAATAAGTTGGACTCAGGATGGAGTGTGGGGACAATGTTTGGTTTGCAGAGTGAGGACTGGGGAGTATCTGGCCATCCTGGCATTTTCCTACCTTCTAGCCATCAGCAGCTTGAGGAGGAGGAGGTGCTTTGCCTGGTGCTGGTCCCACCACTAAGGGTGGAAGCTGTCATTAAGTGTATGACATTTTCCACGTTATTGGGAACACAGCCCAAATCCTGGGCAACTGGCACCAAAACTGCAGCTCAGGGTATGGCTACGTGGTGCATTGCCTGCAAAGTACCATATAGCATATTCTATACACCTCCCAAAACTCAGGTTTGCACTGCTTTTGGTTTCGCCATTGCCCCATCCTAAGACCTTGGGATGACCTTAGTCAAAACTTCTTGTCTGACCTCGGTAGGCTTGCATCAAGCCTGGTCCTGTCTACGCAGGAGCTTGTTTCCTAGTATAAGAAAATGTCTTTGGATGAGGTCCAAGCCAGACCACAGGGAAGAGGAGAGTTTCCTGGCCTTCTGCCATGCCCTTTAGGGAAGGCGTTCACAGGGCTGATCATAGCCACATGTGGTCCCTTCACTGGCCACTATTCATTGATTTCTCTCTTTCACAGCTACCAGGGAATCCGCCTTTGTCCACGCCATTGCCTCTGCTGGAGTGGCTTTCGCGGTGACCAGATCCTGCGCCGAGGGCTCAGCCACCATCTGCGGCTGTGACACCCGCCACAAGGGTTCACCGGGGGAAGGCTGGAAATGGGGGGGCTGCAGCGAGGACGTGGAGTTTGGGAGTATGGTGTCTCGGGAGTTTGCGGACGCCCGAGAGAACAGACCAGACGCTCGGTCAGCCATGAACAGGCACAACAACGAAGCTGGAAGGACCGTAAGGACATTTAGTTTCACCTTTCTTGATCTCCACAATGAGTAGTGGGAGGGAATAACCAAACCTAAATCTGGGCTGGTCTACATCATGAAGCAATTATACCTGCCCCATCATAGTTCTTGTCAGGGAGGTGATTGATGTCCTTGACCTAGGAAAGCTCTAAGTAAATTTACCCACCCAGATGTAAATGCCTACCTTGGAGTCAGTGTTCCAGATGTCTTTATAGAGAATGGATCAAGACAGACAGGTCTAGGATGGGATTTCATTAAGCAAAGACATTTTGGTATAAACAGAAACATCCTGAAGTATCCAGCCTGTCCTTGGGCTGTTACTGGGAAAGACTAGGACTCCTGCAGGTCCTCTGCCATCTTTTAACTGATGCCTGGGACACTCCTGGAGCTCACAAATGGCATTAGATGCATGTATTTAAGCAACTGAATCCCAGTTTGAGTGCAACTGTCCATTCCCCTGGGACCAGCACTCTGCTCTGTAGGCTGCAGGGTGGGAAAGAACAGGAGGGCATTTCCCATCACCACTCTTCTTTGCACTGTTCCATTTCCCAGGGAATATTTAAAGAAAATGAGAAGGAATGTGACTCTGGTGCCTCTTGATTAAACCTGGACCATGCCCCAAAGCCAGCTAATGTGTTCTCACTTCAAACAATGTACAAGGGAACAGAAAGCACAAAGTCTTGCCCTCATCGCAGTGGCTGCCTCATACTTTGTGAATCTTTTCCATAAGGAGGAACAATCTCAGTAAGAGGACGTTCTCTTTTTCATCTCAAGAATTTCTCAGTTTTTTTTTTTTCACAGAGTAAACTTGAGATAGTTTATCCCCCATTGGAAGAAAGATACCTCACAGTAATCCAAAGAGATTCATATAGTCTTGCTCCCCCAGGAGCAAGCCTTGCACACAGCTAGGAGGGCATATGGCTGTGCAAAGAGCTGTAGCAAAGCCACCACAGTTGCATTGTACAGTTATCCTCAGGCAGGTTAGGACTTCAGTGTGAGCTCCTCAGGTGGACGCTATTAAACCCTGGTGGAGTTATCCCACCTCACACCACAGGAGAGCTGGTCTGAAACAGGGACTACAACCCTTCAGAATGAGATACCACCAGAAACAAAAATTCAGTGGAGATGAATACAAGCAGTAATGTGTTTTCCTCCAGCATTGGCCCAAATTATTCCAGGCAGCCCAGGGTATCATGCAGTGCTGGTGGCAGTTGATGGGACAGATAATGAGATAAATAGGACTGTGGAGAAGCTGGGTAGAGTGGAAAAGGAGAGATTTGCCTTAAATTGATAAACCATGGAAAAACTGATCTTTGAGCAAACATCCCTGTCATCACATGCTTGCAGAGGTTTTTTTACTGTAAGTCTTGTTACTTGACAATTAGTTGTTTTCAGGCATTTTACAGACATCAGAGAGCAGATGTCCCACCATTATCTAAAATCCTCTGGTTTTATAAAGCACTAGTGTTTTCCATTCTCACCGTGCCACCACTCATACGGTAGCTCCTCCAGTACTCCATGCTCAAGTGTTTCCAGCTAATCCTGAGCTATAGGCAATGTTTCATATTAGTTCCCATATGAACTTAAACCCTACCACCAGGCCAGAAGCTTTGATTAAGTTCAACATGATTATACGAACCAAACATTTTGTGGTTCTCTCTCATCACTAATTACAACCTCCTTTGCGGCGGGTGATACTCCGTAAATAACACAGGAAAGCACCTGGTGAACACTAAGGTGCTGATTCATGGCAAATCTTTTGGACTCAGGCTGGCACTAGTCTGTTCACGTACTTGGAAATTTGCTGATCAGTCTGAAAATGCAGATTATCAAGTAAGTTGCATAAGGCTGTCTCCCACCTCAGAATACTGGAGGGCAAGACCTCTAGAAACCTTTAGACTTATTTCATAAGAGGTAAAAGCGAATAGCAAACTTCTGTGATCAATAATCACCCTTCCATTTATTCCAGGACCGTGTTTTATGTCAAAGTCTAAACCACTGAAAATTAAAAGTTGGGCTCCTACTTTTTTTTATTTGAAACGGTTTTAACAAAAATCATAAATCTGTCTTAAAAAGAAAAATACTGACTTCTCAGGTTTCTGACCATAGCCACAACCAAGGCTAGAATTTTATTTGTTCAATGAAAACACAAATAGAAAATGGAATTCTGGATTGGATCATTAGGACATTTCATATTTCTTTGATTTCCAGTAGAATAGTTGTATATGTCATTTACAGAAACATTGGTTTAGAAGTTTCCTGTGTTTTTCATTTCTCTGCCTTGATGAGTCTGAATTGCATTCTTGGGTGACAGTACTGCAACCTTGACACTTGAACACTGATGAACCAGAAGTTAGTATGCACAGAAGTCTCTTCAACCCTTAGAGAAAGCACTTGGTAGATGTTTAAATTTGGGGTGGGAATCAGAGACAGTCACGGAAAACAACCAAGTTGCAGAGGTTTTATCTGCCTCAGACCCAGCATCTGTGCAGGGCATTGACTGGAGGATAAGGTGATTTTTGTTCACAAGTGTGTAAATATATCTATGAGAACACTGCAATTCTTTAGGATAACCTGGCTGAATAGCAGAACGCAAGATGTGTTTTGATGACAAGCTAATGTGTTCCCTCTTCTTTGCCCTTCCTCTCCTCTTTTTCAGTCCATTATTGAACTCATGCATCTTAAGTGCAAATGTCACGGCCTCTCAGGCAGCTGCGAAGTGAAGACCTGCTGGTGGTCCCAACCAGACTTCAGGGTTATCGGTGACTACCTCAAGGACAAGTACGACAGCGCTTCTGAAATGGTGGTGGAAAAACATCGAGAATCCCGCGGCTGGGTAGAGACCCTCAGGCCCAAATACAACTTCTTCAAGGCCCCAACTGAGAAGGACCTGGTTTACTATGAGAACTCACCAAACTTTTGTGAGCCCAACCCTGAGACAGGTTCCTTTGGGACCCGTGACAGGATCTGCAATGTCACTTCCCACGGGATTGACGGTTGCGACCTTTTGTGCTGCGGCCGTGGGCACAACACAAGGACTGAGAAACGTAAAGAGAAGTGTCACTGTATCTTCCACTGGTGCTGCTACGTCCGCTGCCAGGAGTGCATACGAGTCTACGACGTCCACACGTGTAAATAAAGCCGGCAAAACCCTTCGCCGGGCTCCAAGTGGAGAAATGGATTCGAGCCTACTTCCTCTGAGGTTGCAGACATGAGAGAAGTCTACTTTTTTGATATTAAAAGAATGAAAACTTTTTAAAAGGCTAAAACTGGTTGGATAGAATAGGTCTAGTGACTTCTGGGCTATTGGAGACTGTCTGGCAGTCACACAAGTTATGCCCCAACAATGCCTCCTGTAGGAGACAGCGGCTTTTCGAGCAGCCGACAACACAGAATTGGAAAGAAGAGCATCAGCAAAAGCATGGATTTGCTCTGCTCTCACCCACCTGAAGTGACTCGTGTGATTAAGTGTCCTTTGAAAGACTTGTATCTTCCCAAGTATCTCCCTTTCCCTCGGCCAGGCAGAGGCTGTGTCGGACGGCAGCACTAAGCTTTCTGAGATCTGTCTACATACCCAAATGGCCAGACTCTGTGTATAATATGAGCAGCCACAACAACAGTAACAAAAGAAATAAAATCACATAAATTAATGATTTAAAAAAAAAAAAAAAAGCAAATAAGCAAATCCTCCTTTGCTTTTGCCCTGGAACCAGAGAAGTCTACAAATATATAACAGAGCTGTAGAGCAGGCAGGCTCTTTGCGTGAACTTTTTAGCATAGTAGCTTCTGCCAGTTTTGACATAGGATGCAGTGACACCTGTAGAGAGGGAGGGAGGGAGGGAGAAGGAGAGGGAGAAAAAGAGAAAGAGATGATGATGGTTTCCTGCAAATGCCCTGTTGGCACACAGGCGAAGTGCACAGTACGGAAAGGTTCAGTGCCTGATATTTCGAAGTGAAGAGGATTCGGCATGTGCATGGAGAAGGAGAGAGTCCCACGAAGGGAGATGTTGCTCCAGCTGTGGTCCAGTATGTGGCCCAGCCAACAAACCTTCTTCAGAAACATATGGTGCAGAGTGAGTCTCCTGGGGTTGGACACTCACTGTTGGGTGTAGGACGTCCAGCTCCTCAGCATCCCAGCTTGTTCCCTGAGAGAAGAAAAGGCAAAGTGTCTACCCCTCCCACCTTGTTAGAGAACGCCGTCACCAAGAGTGGAAAGTGCACTTAGTCCATCCATTCTCTGCACCTCATGCAGGCTTCCCCCTGGGCACTTAGCAAAAGCCTTAGACCACAAGTCTGTTGGGAACGTGACTCTGAAGGATGGCTTGTCACCCATTAATTTACACGGTGATGAACCAACCCACCACCACCCCCCACAAGATGGAACAGTTTCAGGTTCGATTTAAATTTTGTTCCATACCTAATTTCTACAGCCATTCCCATCACTAAAAGTGGCACAGATTAAAATGCACAAACCCCAGACTCTGAACTAGCCCAGAGTTTTGAGCAATTTTGGACACAAAAGCCAAATCCCAACTTTGCAGCACTGCCCTATCTCTGCTGTTCACCTCTGACTCCCCATCTTTGCGTGCTGCTCTAACTTCCGATTTCAGAAGTAGATTACCCATACCTTTGGGTTCCTACCTTGGGAAAAGGACAATGGACTGGTATTTTTTTCTTTCGCTTCAGTACGGGAAGGGAAATGGGACATGATACAACTCCTAGTGACCCATAAGAATCTTCTCATGGGAATGAAATCATGGCTGTTGGCTAGTTCACACCTGGTCGTCTATGTAGAGAAAACAGAGTGCTCTTCTGTCCCTGCATGTCAGCTTATTCCCGGAAACCAAAGGAGGGAGTATGCAGAAGAGGCAGGGAACAAGCAGAGCTTAATCTCATCAGAGAGAAAACAGGAGGAAATTATGCCTCCAAGGGCTGACTCTGAGTCATGGCATCTCCTGGGACTATTCCTAGGCTGGTGCAGTTGATGCATCACCCGTTTGTCTCAGGGCTGTGCCCAAGGGCACAAGCAAGCTTTGCCTCTTGATGGAGGCACTTCTATCAACGTTCTGCAAAAAAAGCTGCAATGAAATGAGAGCAGAGACACAGAAGGGAGGGAAGGAGAGAGGAAGAGATCAAGAGAGACAGAGAAAAAATGGGGAGAAACAAATCAATCGTATTTGTACATGCAAGCATTGCACCCAATGGATGACGACACACCAACTGGTAGAGAAACATAGATCACTAAAAACTGAGAAAAAGATGGACCAATTAATGGATGCATGACTGATTTGTATAATACAGTCTGGGAGAAAAGGAAAATCTGATCCTTAAAGCAAATAAAGCAAATAGAGAAGGAAGCCACTGCAGGGGGATATTGCCACACTAACCAATACTCAAACACAAGCTGTCAAGAAAGCAAACACTGAAGAAAACCACATATGCAGTGAAAGGCATTGTCGTATTGCAAAAGATGGGACAAGGGAAGATAAGTCTGATTTACTTAATATGGATGCAGTGCTAACAGTCACAGTGAGAGATGTTGGACGCGTCCCACCAGGTACTTCCGTCTTTGAATGGTGCCCTGACAGAGAAGACACAAATCATTGCAGGTCATGGTCCTTGTCAATCCATTCTCTTCAGCAGGGTCACACCACAAACGATTTTACCCTAATATTTTTAAGCAAGATGGTTTCAAAATACTTCTTTTATACCATATCAGTGAAGAAACGGGTTGAAGGATTTGGCTTCTGTGCATGGGAGCTGGGCTCTGACTCCAGACCATCCACAGCATGCGAACATCCACCGTTTCTGCTTTTGCACCAGAACGAAGCCCAACATCAGTAGCAGGTGAAGCTCTTTGGGAAGCATGGGGGGGAAAAAAACCAACCCCAAATTAAGTATTTGCTGAACAATTTCCTCTTAAGGTGAACAAACAGATTTTGACTGCAGCAGTGGAATTTATTTCATGTGGCCGTGTCATCTAGTCTAAGATATTTATCTAGTTTTCTGGTCGGATCATTGGCAAGAAACACACAAGTCCAGAAGGCGATTCATTATAGCCTAGGATGGTATCTAAGCTATGTTTAAATTGCCCTCTGGATGTATCTCTGTCTTTCGTTCATCTTCAGGTGATGAGCTCATACTAGATGACGAGCTCTTAGGTGGGCACAGTTTGATGATATGAAGTCCACCATGAGTCAAGGAGGTGAAGCTACAATCTGATCATCAGCTGAGATGGGCTGGAAGTTGTACTCCTTCATTCAAAGCTCAATTGTTGGGGACTTCCACCCCATTCAAGGGATTTTTAATGAAGCCTATGCATACTCATTTGGTTTTATTATGCAATTAGTCATCCACTGTGATGCTACAATGTAAGGGGTTGAGCAGCTCCTACTAAAGTCAATGAAAAATGCTTGTGTGAATTCTGTTAATCACCCCAAGTGTATTGGGGATCCTAGTCCCAGGTCTTAATCTAAGGAGGGAAGAAGGAGAACCTGCGAGGGCCTGCATCTGACTGCATGCCTTTGGAGAAGGCACTTGGGCCATCGCTCCCCAATACACATGAATTCAGGAAGTGTCTTTGTAAAACTAAGATCCCACTCCACTGCCTAGACTAGACACCATAGGTCAGGGTTGCCACTGTAATGGCATGAAAGATTGAGACAATGATGAGCGAGGTGCCATCCCTCCCTATACATCACCATGCCTGCATTGGTCTCATTTAGGAGATGGTCTAAGTACAACCCAGAGCCATCTTCTGCCTTCTCCCATTCCGTGAAAATAGTAGGGTCTTCCTTACAGAGGGGACTTTGGGTTTCACTCAATAATATAAGCATCTGGTGACATTTTAGGTGTCCTAAAATATCCTGTTGGGACCCAGCTGATGCTTCGATGACACAAGACTCTCACAAGTCCTAAACCTGGACAGATATGTCAGAGACTGTACGGTGTCCAAAATGACATGAGATGCCTATGTGTAGACAGCTGAATTGTGCACTTGTCTGGAAATGGTTTTCTGTGAAAACTTCCCCTCCACCTCAGTTGAGCTGGGTAATGCACCCAGTGACAGTCTATACTCAAAAGGAAAAGATCTTTCATTTCCCACAAATGGGAGCTGGCCAACTCCACGATCCATGGTGCCCTTCCCTTCACTCTTCACTTCTGATGAGGTTTGTCCTCAGGCAGATGGTTTGTATAAGGGATGCATCTGGCAGTACCAGGGAAAAGGGAGAAGATGTCACCCAAACAAGGAACACAAATGTAAAAAAAAAAAATAATAATTAGAAAAGGAACATAATTCCATCCTCTGACATGCTGCTATCCAACCTTTCCTTTAGCTGAACCGATGGGTTTGACAGGTCACATCAGTTCCACATCCAACCTCATCAAAGGCAGTTGAGTTACCTGCAAGGGGGGAATTTGGCCTCATCTCTTTTCTTTCTATGAAAGAAATGGAAAGTTTAGGAGTTTTTTTTCTTGCTTTTGTTTAGTTTTAGAACTTGGAGGCTTCTTTTTCTCAGAGAAAAGAAAAACATGGGGAGGGAAACGCATAACATTTTCTACTACTTGACCCCTGGTGTATCTCTTTTGGCTAAGAGCCGTTCTCAGCACTGACAGTCTTCTTCAAAGCATTTTGAAGTCTCTAGAATTGTTTCCACTCCTTATGAGGGGCTTCATGTGCAGAAAGCAAGCAGACAGGATTTAATCTTGGGAGGGCACTGTAGAGACAACCACGCCACAGAATGCAATAGGGTGCAGAAATCGCTGAGTCAGCACCAATCACATTAGCCCTTTAAGCAGAAGGGCTGCAGTCTTAGCTGAGCATTGCAGGATTTCTGTATCAGCAAACCTCAGAGAGCAATTTCTTCTAAATTCTAAAATATTTTTTGTGTTTTCAGTGCACTCAGATATATTGCCACAGACATGTCCATGGATTATAACACATTTGTCATGTGTGTTTGTATGCTGTCATGTCCTCATCCTTAAATTCAAATACAGGAGAAACACTATGAGCTTTGGGTCACTTTTTTAGCTTCGAAGAGAGGTTTCAGTGCTGAAAATCTGGGATTCGATGTTCCTGGGGATATTCAGGGTTACAGCATGAGCACTCTGCAGGAGCTAGGAGTTATGAACCCAGTCCTAGGTTCTGCACCATGGAAATTACTCCAGGCTTCACTTGATGCCTTAACAATATTGCTTTGGGAAGATAAAACAGGGCCATGAAAAAGCATCCAATCAAAATGCCCTGCAGACACCAGCCACTGCACCGGATTTTAAATATGCTGCCCATAGGAAAATGTTCCCAGCTCTTCCAGAGCCCTGCTCCAGAGCTGAGGATGTCAAGCAGGCAATTCTCTCCCATCAGTGAGTGAGTGGGATGTTCGCTCAGATCTCTCAGTCGTGTGCCCAACCAGCTGTTTGGATGAGAAGCTGTAGAGAGAGCATTAGACAATGGGAGAGAAGTGGGCTCGACAGGAGGAGATCCCATCTCTTCTTCATAGCTATATGTCTCCTATCTTCTACCTCCCTCCAAGCTAAATCTTGGCTGTTATAGTAGGGACTTCTTAGTATGGGAGAATCTCTTTTTTAGATTTTCCTTCTCTCACTGGGCAGAAGCAGTGGGATCTAGTTTGCTTTTTGCTGAATTGTTTTCT